ATCTGTGTGTCAGGATATGCATCTGTGTACGTGCATCTGTGTGTCAGAATGTGTGATTTTATGTGTGCGTGTGTGTATCTGTATCACGGTGTGTGCATGTATCAATGTTTTTGGGTGTCAGGTTGCATATGTGTGTATATGTCAGTGTATGCATGTGTCAAGGTGTGTGTGTATGTGTCAGTATGTGTATCTATGTGTGTGTAGGTGTTGTTGTCTATATGTTTTTGTGCGTATGTATATCTGTATGTATGTATGTTTGCATGTGGTAGTGTATGCGCACACATCATACACCAGCACAATATAAAAACACACTCCTGCAATCTAACACAAATATTACATACAAACACACCCCTGCATTCAAACGCCAAAAGGATATACGAACACACCCCTTCACTCAAACACAAATACTTAACACAAATGTACATCCGCATTTAAAAGTGAACATAACATTCAAACACACCCCTGTAATCAAACACAAACATTACATACAAAAACACCCCTGTGTTAAAACACTAAAACCATATACAAGCACGCCTTCAAACACCAACACTGTACATTACACTATAACGCCAGTCAATGTCGCAGCGGTGTACAGATATACAATCTAGAAATTTTGACTTGGGGTGCCGTGGAAAAATACTGAAATATTAAGGGCACCTTGAACCTAAAAGGTTTGGAAACCACTGCTGTAAACTATAAGATCCAAACATGTATCAAACACATATTTTTTTACCATATCTTGCCTAGTAGTAGATGAATCTGTAAACTAATTTACATGCTTTTTGCAGATTATGTTAATTAAATCTTAACTATTATCCTGCTGGTTAAATGAATGTAAAAAAAATGTGGGGTCCCCATAATCCCCTAGAAACCAGGAAGAACCCACCAGAGTGGTAGGGTTAAAATGTTGTGGTTGGCATATAGCATATACTACTTTCCTTAGTAAATAACATAATAATGCAATAATGACAATGCACACGACATTCGCTTACATTTGATAAAACTGATTATCGGTTTTCAGTCCACAAAGCCAAGGGTAAATCCATGTTTTTGATTGCATGCATTGAATTTAACCAATGAAAGCTATTCTTTCTAGTACGAGCAAATGCACAGGTTGAGAAAATACAACTAGAATTTCAAGTCGGACCCCAGGCTGCCACCAAAATGTTACGATTGGTTAATATGCAGGATTCATGTGAAGACGAACAGAACAAGAAACAGTCTGGAACCACAATGTTTTATTCAAAGCTGGAGAAAATTCTTGGATGCAAACTGCATACCTTAACAATGGTAAATCTAAGTATTTCAAATTGTATTTTATAAGCTGTGGATACATGTGATGATGGCAGAGGCTGCGTAATCAAATATGAGTAATAGAAGGGTCAATGAGTGTGCAGGACATGGTCAGTGTCCATCCTCTGTGCGATAGAAAATAGAGAGGCAGGTAAAAAGGGTATTCTGACCTAAATAGTTTCCATTGACTGGAAGTGTTTTCAGATGTTTGCTTCTCTTATTCCATGACTACACCTGTAGCATTAAGGGAAATGTCCACTTCCCAAGAGGTACTTATTCCTATATTTACCAAATGTGTTGTTATTTGTTTATTTTTAAAGTTCAGACCTTTGTACCTGGCAGAAAGCATAGAACTAAAACATAGATTGAGGAAGAGACAAAAAACAATGGTTCTGTTTTATCTCCTTATTTGCCATACATGCCCTGGTCGTGCCTGGATTAAACTGGATTTTGATGTAGTTTACTAAATCTGTCATTTCATTTCAAAAGATTATGGAGCACAGAGTGCGGGGGAATAGACAGTATATACGTGATATACACTGCTCAAAAAAATAAAGGGAACACTTCAACAACACAATGTAACTCCAAGTCAATCACACTTCTGTGAAATCAAACTGTCCACTTAGGAAGCAACACTGAGTGACAATCAATTTCACATGCTGTTGTGCAAATGGGATAGACAACAGGTGGAAATTATAGGCAATTATCAAGACACCCCCAATGAAGGAGTGGTTCTGCAGGTGGTGACCACAGACCACTTCTCAGTTCCTATGCTTCCTGGCTGATGTTTTGGTCACTTTTGAATGCTGGCGGTGCTTTTACTCTTGTGGTAGCATGAGACGGAGTCTACAACCCACACAAGTGGCTCAGGTAGTGCAGCTCATCCAGAATGGCACATCAATGCAAGCTGTGGCAAGAAGGTTTGCTGTGTCTGTCAGCGTAGTGTCCAGAGCATGGAGGCGCTACCAGGAGACAGGCCAGAACATCAGGAGACATGGAGGAGGCTGTAGGAGGGCAACAACCCAGCAGCAGGACCGCTACCTCCGCCTTTGTGCAAGGAGGAACAAGAGGAGCACTGCCAGAGCCCTGCAAAATGACCTCCAGCAGGCCACAAATGTGCATGTGTCTGTTCAAACGGTCAGAAACAGACTCCATGATGGTGGTATGAGGGCCCGACGTCCACAGGTTACAGCCCAACACCATGCAGGACGTTTGGCATTTGCCAGAGCACACTAAGATTGGCAAATTCGCCACTGGTGCCCTGTGCTCTTCACAGATGAAAGCAGGTTCACACTGAGCACATGTGATAGATGTGACAGAGTCTGGCGACGCCGTGGAGAACGTTCTGCTGCCTGCAACATCCTCCAGCATGACCGGTTTGGCAGTGGGTCAGTAATGGTGTGGGGTGGCATTTTTTTGGGGGGCCGCACAGCCCTCCATGTGCTCGCCAGAGGTAGCCTGACTGCCATTAGGTACCGAGATGAGATCCTCAGACCCCTTGTGAGACCATATGCTGGTGCGGTTGGCCCTGGGTTCCTCCTAATGCAAGACAATGCTAGACCTCATGTGGCTGGAGTGTGTCAGCAGTTCCTGCAAGATGAAGGCATTGATGCTATGGACTGGCCTGCCCATTCCCCAGACCTGAATCCAAATGAGCACATCTGGGACATCATGTCTCGTTCCATCCACCAATGTCACGTTGCACCACAGACTGTCCAGGAGTTGGCAGATGCTTTAGTCCAGGTCTGGGAGGAGATCCCTCAGGAGACCATCTGCCACCTCATCAGGAGCATGCACAGGCGTTGCAGGGAGGTCATACAGGCATGTGGAGGCCACACACACTACTGAGCCTCATTTTGACTTATTTTAAGGACATTACATCAAAGCTGGATCAGCCTGTAGTGTGTTTTTCCACTTTAATTTTGAGTGTGATTCCAAATCCAGACCTCCATGGGTTGAAAATTTTAATTTCCAATTTTTAATTTTTGTGTGATTTTGTTGTCAGCACATTCAACTATGTAAAGAACAAAGTATTTCAGAAGAATATTTAATTCATTCAGATCTAGGATGTGTTTTTTTTGTGTTCCCTTTATTTTTTTGAGCAGTGTATATATTTGGTTGATTAAAAACAATTCCTTGGGCACAGAATTTTTGTTTTCAAGTATCCATGCATTAGTGACAATGACGTGTGTTGATTTCTAAGTCACAGGGGACACAACCACCAAATGTGAAGGTTCGTACCTTCTGCAGCACTGCATCTCCAGCACTGGGCATTCGGAGCAACGCGCATGCGATACAGCTGTGCCAGAGTCCTTTACCAGCATGTCAGAAGTTTATAGTTGAGTTCCTGAATTTTGGAGCTGATCATCCCCTAATGTGATAAGATATGTATTTTTTCCCATTGTGGGTCAGACAGTGTGGACCCCGTGGCTTGCTCCCACATTGATTGATACTTTGCTGGCAGGTTCTGGATGGCTGTTATCAGCATGGCATAGAGAACTGTAATTCCCTGGTGCAGGTGTGGCCCGTCCGTACACAGAGCCTCTAATTGGGTTAGGTCCCTATGTATGAGATGCTTTCCTGGTAACAAGTTATAGTATCGCTGGATCTGGTGGTATCAAAATCTGAGCAAACCTGTCGTGCGGTTCTGCGTGAGCAGTTCTTCCATGGGTTTCAGATTATTGTTTGTGTACCATTCACTGAGGCATAGCCTGTCAGAACGTCCAAGCCCCGCAACATCCCACGCCGCCAGGCCACCTGCTATCACCAGGTTATAAGTCACTGGTGTCAGGTGGGTTGGGTTGGTGGTGAGCTTTAATTTGTATCGTATTGTGGACCAGATCCTCAGGGTCGCTCCAATGAACGGGTGTTCGCATAGCTCTCTGGTCTGCAGGGGGTTTACCAGCGGGATACTTCCCTGGACCTGTGCGCATTCTAAATGGATCCATTGCTTTTCAGTCTTTGGCACATGCTAATCTATTATGTAAAGGAGGTGTGTGGCACGGTAGTATGTCTGCATTGAGGGCAGTCCTGTACCGCCCAGGCGTTTCGGGAGGGTAAGCTGCGATTGTTTAAGCCATGGTGAGCCCAATCTCCATATAAACTGCAGAATAGCAGTGTTCTAGACCTGAAGAAGGCCTGCTGGGGGATCTGAATCGGGATGGTCTGGAACAGGTACAGGAATCGCAGTAACAAGTTCCCTTTTACAGCCTTGATTTTGGTCCGTTTAGGGAGGGAAAAGGAAGATGAGTGGGAGAGTTTAGAAGAAGAAGGGGGAGAAGAGAGAGGGGAGTAAGGGGGGGTAAGAAGAAAAGAAAAAAAAATCCAAGGGAGAGGGGGAAGAAGGAGAGGGTGTAACACTGGAGTGTAGGGCAGTAGTACTGGGTAAAGAGGGTACAGGAGGGGAAGTAGTGGCATCAGGGAATGACGTCAGCAGTCCGTCTGGACTAAAACTATTTACAAATAAAGACTTGACTGTCTACAGGGGTTAAACAGGTGAGAGTCCCCACCACTAAATGTGACCCCACACCTGCACCCCAGCCCATAATCACCCATAGTCTATCTGTGGAGACGTGCGCAGTACCCGCACAAGGTGAGAGAGCTCTACAGCTCATCTCAGAGGTACTTTATACCGTCCGTCACTCTATCAGGCTGCGGGAGAGAATGTAAACTAGTCACAAGCAAGACTCAACATCGTGTACGGTCCAATGGTTTTAGCCTCCTATTTCTCAAGGCAAGCGGTATCCCACAAAAATAGTCCCCTCCCGGCATCAGCAAAAAGTGACCCCCCCCTCCTGCAAGTGCCCCCCTGGCACCCAACCCCTCATCAAGTCAGCAGCAGAAAACCTAATTCCATTGACAGTATAATGCCCCCAGACGCCCACTCTCACCGAGGCCGCCACCTGCCCAGGCTGGTGGGGGGTGCGGAGCGGACACGGCCCAGAATCCGCATGACCCCAAGGGCACCACCACATCGCAGCAGGCACATAGTTGTAGTGTCTCCTCTCCATCACCCATAAACAAAATACATATGGGACTAGACCCATATGCGGTTCCAAAATGGCAGGTGGCAGAGTTGGGGGGGGGGGGGAGATGACCCCTGGTTAGTGGACTTCTTGTTGCGAACCATCTTGTCTTGGTAAAATGCTATATTTTCACTTTTTTGCAGTGGGGGGTGAGGAGCTCAAGCACTACACGTCCTGTCTCATGCTCGGTCTGGCCAAGCCTCCTAAAATAGCTGATTTGAACATTTCTTCAATTCAGCAATATTGACATAGTACGTTAACCTAAATGTTTTCATTCTGATTTAATTCACCCAAATTTTCCAGAATATTCAGTGAAATCCGAATGGTCAGGGAAAAACATCTGTATGTGTATGAAGCCATTCAGACTGCCAAATCTGAATATTATTCATTCTATTTTAGCATAAATGACTCCAAATGAGCCTGACTTCGGTCAAGGCCAAATGTTGCTGGACAGCTGAAATAAAGTTGTTAAAATCTGAGCCCAGATGTTTCAACTGGCCACAGATTTAAAAAATCTCAACTATTTGCCTGCAGGGTTTTTAACTTTCGAAAAATATAAACTATCGACTGGGCAGCCATTGCATGAGATTGGACCTGTAAAATAACAGGGGGATCCTTAGGCACTGAGTGGGGGATTTTAATTTAAGGAACCACTCCACATCCCAAAAGCACTTCAGCTTGCTGAAGTGCTTTATTGGTGAGAAGTATCTTAATTTTACCCTAGTTTATAAAAGTGTTGATTTTATGAGAAATCAGCACTTTTATAAATTAACTAGGGAACGCCCCCTGGCTGTCAATCAAACAGCCAGGGAGTTTTGCAGCTCCTTTACTTAGCTCCCCTGAGCTAACGGAAGTAGCAGGCACGCTCTACTTGAGCATGTCTGCATTCTCCCAAACAGACCACAAACCGCCACCCCCCAACCTCAGACCAGACTGTGTGTGTGCACAAGCCGGCACACGCAACAGTGTGGGCGCGTGCATGAGCCGGCGGGCGCTTGCATGTGGGCACCAATTCAGAGAAGCCTCTGATTGGTTATTTCCCTGTGAAGAGACTGAAAGTCTCTTGCATGGAAAATAGTTCATAAGATCTGCAGCTCTTTTAAGATACCTCCAATGAATGCATGCATTAAAAATTCATGCATATATACATTTATTATATTCATTGATTGATAAACAGTGATTTTTTTTCCATTTGGGCAGTGAAGCATACCTTTAAATAATTGAGCCGATGAGGGCTACTTATTAAATGGCATGGGCCTAAAGTCTCCACCCACTGGCTTTGGGTGTAGGCTGTTACTATATAACCATGTGGCAGCTAATGTCCTCACCCCATCCCCCATCCATTGGCATTAGAAGGGGGCTATTAACATATAGCCGAAGGATGCCTAATGTCCTCACACCAACCCACACAAAGAGGGTCAAAATAAAATCCATAATAATGTGATGCAGCTTATGAAAATAAAAAAAAAACACCAGAATCGCAAAGAAAGCCAAATAAAATAAAAATGCAACAAAAACAGACCCATCTTGACCACGCAAGGGATCCACGCGGAATGAGCGTCAATGCTGGAAAAGCCGTTTTGAAGGCTTTCCCACCCTTTTAATTTTCATTCAAATATTCTGATTGGTTAACTTGTAAGCCAACCAATCAGAGTGCTCTGATAAGCAAGCCTCACTTCTCTCAAGAATGGGAATGGGAATATTCCTTGTATATTTATTTAGCGCACTCATCAGCCTCTCATGGGTGGGCACTGGAGGCGCATTAGGTCCCCCCCCAATATATATTAATAGGCCCCATCTAATGCCATTGGTTGGGAGTTGGGGTGGGAACATTAGGTTCCCCATCAGTTACATAGTAATAGACCCACCTGACACCAATGGATGGGGGATGAGGAGAGGACATTAGGTCCCCTCATTTATTAAATAGCCCACACGCTAAACGGATGGGGGCAAAGGGTACTTGAAATTATCATTTACTTGTAAAAAGTAATTAAACAATAAGTTGTGAATATGGAGTAAGCATTGTTTCTTGTTAAGGTTAAAGTCGATAGTTTTATTGATACTTATTGATCTACACTGACTGCTTTGTAACGCATCTACTGCTTTAAAGAAACATCTCAATCTTTTGTGATCTTTTCAGACTCCAATGCATTTTTCAGACAAAAACAATATAATTATTTTATATAATTTTGAATTGTTGCAGTTGCTTTCATAGAAATAATAACGTTCTTACTTTTTTTATTCCATTGTGTTAAGGAAACTTTAAACAATACTAATTCAACAAGTTCTGAAAGTTCCATTGAAGCATCAGGTGATTCCTCAGCCAATCTCACATCAGAGCAAAAGAGTGAAAACACAACAAAGTTAACACCTCATAAAGCACAAGAAGACAACCACCACCAATGTGGACATAAACTCAAGTGCTTGTGCGGCAGAGACAAGACTTGCAAATGTCATCAGTGTTGTCACGAACAAAGGAAAGCGAAGGGGCATCACAATTGTGAGCACGAATTGGAGAAAATACATCATGAGAAGGAGGAGATAAAGCACACAAAGAAGAAGCTGTACAAAGAAAAGAAGAACATAAAACACAAGAAGCAGAAGATACAATGTGAAGAGTGGCATGTACGACAGGAGAAGAGGCACATACAACATGAGAAGCAGGGTATACGACACGAGAAACAGGATATTCAACATGAGAAGCAGGGTATACAACACGAGAAACAGAATATTCAACATGAAAAGCAGGGTATACGACGCGAGAAACAAGATATTCAACATGAGAAGCAGGGTATACAACACGAGAAACAGAATATTCAACATGAAAAGCAGGGTATACAACACGAGAAACAGCATATTCAACATGAAAAGCAGGATATACAACACGAAAAACAGCATATTCAACATGAAAAGCAGGATATACAACACGAAAAACAGCATATTCAACATGAGAAACAGAAGGTGAAACATGAAAGAGAGAAAATAGAACAGGAAAAGCAGGAGATCCAAAAAGAGAAGGAGAATATAGAGCAGGAGAAGAAAGGTAATGCAAAACAGCACATGAAAAGAAACAAACATCGTAGCAGCATGGGTCAGACAGCAGATATAGGCAGCAGCTCCAAGAGCCAAAGAGAACGTGTGGATAGCAGCTGCAGTCAAAGCCAAAATAAAAACATGGAAAGCAGCAGCAGCAGTCAGAGCAACAGTCAATACATAGATGGAACCAGCAGTAGTTGCCAAAGTAAACACATGAGTGGCCAAAGAGATGGTTACCAGAGTGAACATGTAGACAGCAGCAGTAGTAGCCACGCACGTCAAAATCGGAACAGCAGGAAGAGTAGGACATCTACTCACAGACATGACAGTGGGCATGATTTCAGACATGTTGAGAAATGCCATAAAACATACGCGGACAATAATTCAACAACATTTGAGGTATTACATTTGTATTTAACTATCATTTTTACTTTAAAGATAAACTACAATTATCTTCTACGCTTTCTAAATATTATTTATTTTCTCTCTGGCAGAACATCCTGGGTATGAATATTGATGAAGCTCAGTTTACATTAACTCCTGGTCATTTGGTATGTACTCTTTTACTGAAAAGTTCCAAAATATTGAGTATGAAAATGTTAAAGGGTTACTCCAAGCCCCAGGACCACTTCACTGATTTAAAGTGGTCATGGCGCCTGAATTCTGCATATGCAGTGTTTCACTATCAAACGCTGTACATAGAAAGTTTAGCTCCTCTGCTACCAGAAATGTAAGTCCACCTCTGGCCTCCTCATTGAGTCATCATTAGCCAGCTCAGAGGAAGAGGTTTGGGCTGGCTGACATCAATCAAAGTTTTTATATATATGATTTACAAGAAACTTGTAATCGAGTATATTTTTTTTATTTTAGGATTTTATTATTGTCTACAATACAAAGTATTTATAGTCAAAATAGAGAATGTATTGACTGTAGGAGGAAAGCAAAACTGTTTTGATACTACAATTTGTCACTGAGAATAGATACCAGACAAAAGAAAATGTTCTTGTGATAGGGAAAAAGAAACAAAAACGAAATTCAAATGGTAGGAAATGCATTGGTTTTGCTGTTTGACTATCAGTTCCATTTCATTATTCTATATTTTGATTCCCGTAGTTGGCTTTATAATTGACAATTCTTCACTCTGCCAGCCTAGATTTCATCCAGATTATACAATTTATAGGTGTATATTGTAACTTCCTTGGAAATTGTTTTTCAGGTTAAGCCTAGCCACTTTAAAGTTTGCTAATATTACATGCCATCTGTGAGCCATTTTCTACTTAAAGGGTTCTGAGCTGTCAAGTGAATAATTAAAAGTGTGAAATTTCAGCAGATTAAATTGCTGACTTGGGAATATTTCTGAATATTGGGGCTAATATTGGGAATATTGGGGCTAATATTTAAAATTTGCTCTAAAATTCACTTTGAATTCCTCGCAATTCACACGTAACAGTGATAGAGTTATTTTGTGAGTGACATACCTGTACTTACTACAGATATTTTAAATAAATATATTTAGAAGGATATCCAGTGATTCACAAAAAACAAATAAAAAAAATAAATAAATAACTGGTAGTACTGCGCTATTTTTTGCTTAAAATATTATTTTTTTTTTTTTTTTACTGGATCACAATTCCAGCGCATAAATAGGGAGGGTTTATAGATGGCGATATCCTCTGTAACAAAGTATGAAGTACATATTGTGAAGGTGTAAAAGAGAAAGATAACTATGAGATAGAACTTCACCCAATCTTCACATCCAACTTGACTCATAAAATGATAATGAACCAGTGAAGGAAAGTTGAGCTCTCAAACATGGGAAAAACAAGAAAATTGTCCCCGAATGCTATGTGCATCAGTTTGCCAAGTTTTTTTTTTGTTTTCTTTTTTTTTAAAAGTAGATTTCACAGAGGGAAATTTAGTGAAAAAGCACTTAATGAAGTGTAGAATTCAATTGAAACAAAATTGTTTCAAAGAGGATATCTTATATGTTTCGTCAATATGCAAAAATAAACTTGTCTCCTAGGAGAAGACATCTTGAGAAAGAGCAGCTAATGATCTTTTAAAGTTTAATTACCCGAGAACCTTTAACAGGCATTTTTGGTGATCTCATGCTAATATCAGCATGTGAGTAGAGGCCCTGAAATCCTCAAGGAATTAGGTGACATTACTGGAAGTAGTTTTAAAAATGGCTTAAAATTGCATTAACCGCACCAGTCAACCTTGAGGACTAATGTTTGAAGCTTTGCTAGTTGAAGGCTGATAACCCAATGAGTGCCTGAGAAATGTTAGAAATATTATGATGCTATGCTCAGCTTTTGTGAAGTGTATCATCAGTAGCAGAGACTTTAAGTGGGAGGTTAGATGGCATCACCTGCTGATATCTTGTCTTGTTTTTCCCAGAGACATTTGTTAACTAGGGTTTACTTCATTTTTCCACTTAGCTTTTCCTCACTAGCTCATTTCTAAAACACTTTGTTATCTCCTGGCTATGGAAGATGTTTTCTGATCCTGGTCAAGTACAACTGACCCGAGGACACTCCTGATCGGAGGCTTTTCTGACAATCTAGTTACTAAACACTTAACTCTTTGCTGCATGTTTGACCCATATGATCACCAGCTAGCTTCGTTCTAAAGGTAGCATTCACTTTTAAAGATTTTTTCCAGGTGAACTGAAGCATACAGTTTGAACAAACCTCAAAGGGATAATGCAAAATCCTCAACCAATTATTTTAGACAACTTTTATCTACCTGTGGTTCTTATGGAACTTTTAAAAGGTCACGGTTCAATGATCTTTGTGCTTGTCTGTAGGTGCATTACTTGCTAAGATTGAGACATTGATTTTTAATCTGGTCAACAGAATTTATAGTGCAGTCCTAAACGTAGGCTAATGGGGAACTCCCTTAAAATATTAGCTCTTCATATAAATGTAAATATACTAAACATGACAATGCAAGATAACACCTTGAAAATTAAAAGTGAATATTTACATGCATGCCGCCCATAGATTTGCTGAACGACATGTTTTGCTATATTTAAAAAATCCTTGCCATATTGATTGTTTTATATTTAAATTAAAAGCTAGAATTCCTTGAAAATTTTGAGTGTTTTACATATATGTTCTTGCATCAAATTAGACGTTCGCGCCAAATCATCTCCTATGGAAGGATAACACATCTACTGCCTTTTCTGCTAATCATATATGATAGAGGAGCTCTCTGTCTGTTGTACTGACATTAAGCTGGCTTCCATGTTTGGCACTACAAAGTAGCCAATAAGCATTGTTAACACCAGCAGCCAGTAGATGTATGCAACTCAGAATATTGACAGGTCTTTTTGGTCAGCTCAGTTGAATATTGGATCTTTCTCAAGGCTTAACATTAGGGAAACTAGCTTAATTAGTCCTGCACATTCCGACAGTTTACTGGATATTTCAGGAAAAGAGAGGTTGAGTTCCTTCTGGTAAACCCATGGTAGACATAAAAGGTGTCCAAAATAGAACATTTATAGAAGGAATTTTAAACTCCTGCCTGTCTGATGACAGCAAAAAAAAGGAGTGAGATATGGAATGATAAGGGGACTTTAATACTATATTTCAGTTAATAGTTTTCATTTGTTCAATTCCTGTTCTTTCCAGCTGTGGGCATAGATACCTCAATAGTGATGTAGTCATAAGTAGCCAGGAGTATTTTCCTATTCATTGCCATAGCAACTACACCAGGACACTATAAAACGTTTGCTCATTCCGCGTGTCCTTCAATTGCAATTTATATTACCAAGTCACCCTTTGTGCTTGCGTACACCTGACGTACCAAACTGCATTCATATGTATTAAAAAACTTTGTAAACCATGCCTGAAGATAGACTTTAATGCGTAAACGTACTTAAATATAGAATAAATTAAATGTATTTTTTTAATATATAATGTAATGAGACTTTTGCAGTTGTTAATTAGTATTTTCTCTTTTCCTCTACACCTAGATGAGACAGGTATAATTTTAGTCAGATAGCTGCAGGTGGTAATTTTTTTACTATCCAGCATGGAAACCAGGTGTTACTTAGTGTTTAGTAACTTCTATTTATCTCTATGGGAGATGTTAAAATGTTCATCATCCACTAATTACCAGTCATTAAATATTAAGTTCCGTAGCACAGAAACAGCTGGTAATTGGCAACAATAGCAAGAAAAACATTTTAGCGATTACCAACATGTCGTAAATGATTGCGACAAGCATAGAAAGAAGCCAATTGTTATTCTTATATACCAGTGGGTTCCAAGGTGCCTTTTTTTGTTCCTATTACCATTACACAATATAATTTATGCACAAAAAAAACCTATCAGATATATTATATACCCCAACTATACATCTCTATTATCATTCTCAGCAAAATGGCAGGTCTTTGTTGCTTTTCATTTTTGTTTACTAAAATTACTTTTGCATAAATCATTTTGAAACAATATTCTTTGACAATCTGCAGTATGTTTAACTGGAATTACCTAGTGCCATTTTCATAACTGCAAGAACAAAACAAAGATTGGTAAATAACTTATTTTCATCGAAATGAAGGGCAAGTTTCAGCAACAGCAGATCATTTTGCTGGTGTCCGGTGAAAAATATACATTAGTGCTTTTGGTAGAAAAAAAAAGTAATTTTCTATAATTGTATTTTTCTTTGTATTGTCCCAAAGAAAACAACAACAATATAACGCAATTTGTATTTATTTTATTTCAATATATATAAAGTTTTGTATTGAGTGAGAGCCTATTTTTTATTATATTATTTTTTTTAATGTTTTTTTATAGAAAAAGAAAAAAAATTGGAATGCAAATTAAATTACATTTGCATGTGCATTTTCATTAATATTTAATGTTCATAACACTGTAATTAACACTTTTCATCATACTTTGTATTAAATAGAAATTCACTGCATAGCTTTGCAATGTGATGGGGCAAAAATAGCACACAGGTCACCTGCGAGCAAACTTATATTATTATTTTTTATTATACCATTCTGATATCAAATGATGGCCTTAATTTCATATTGTTGGATTAACATTTCAAATTTTTAATTTTTTTAATACACATTTCAAATTATTTAATTGTTTTAATACACATTTCAAATTATTTAACACAAGTTCCAGCACACTCACTCACCTACTAAACAGCAATTTCAAAGCTCACAGAATATAATGTTTTTTTTGTTTGTTTGTTTTTTTTTTAAACACCTACCCTAGGCAAAAATAGAAGAGGTTTAGTTATAGTATATGATCATACATTGCATAAGCCTGCCACAACCTCAATGTACCCCATTCTTAGCAGGTCTTACAACCTACAACCTAACGCCTGCTCTTATGAGATTAACCCACTTACTTTGGAAATGCTTCCTCCTGGGATTCTTTGCAGGGCAAGGTTAAATAGGGCCCTGGAATGAGGCACCGGTGACAGGGAGGGGTGCAAAACCAAGGATTTGGCCTGGATTCCCAAATATATAAATGAAACCAAGAGGATGCACTTATATATATTCATATTTTGAAGAAATCATTTTAAAAGGTTATCCAGAAATATTAACTCATTTAAAACCTGATTTAAAAATATTGTTTTGTTTTTTTCAGTTTTGATATTTTAGACTTTAACAGGTCTCTTGTTATCTTACTATGTATAAACCAAACTGATTTTATGTTGTGTTATAATCTACAATGGGATGTATACATTAAACCAGTATATTAAGTAATACACAATATTCTTACTTAAACATGTACATATCAACCCAACATTAATACGTAAAGGGTTACTCCAAGCACCTTGACCCTTTCAGAGATTTGCAGTGGTCCTGGTGCCAGGAGTCTGTATATGCAGTGTTTCAACGTGAAATGCTACACATACAAAGTTCCATTTATTGGCGCTCTCAACCAATAAATGATGACTGGATTGGCTTCCGACTTCTGCAGCCAAAAGCCAGAAGCGCGTCATTGCCAGGGAACCAGGGCAGTTTGCTCCAGACACCATAACCACTACACAGCCTTTATCTTTGTATTATCCCACGTGTTCAATTATTCAGAGGTGTGTTACCAGGAAGAGTGTATTAAGATTTAAAATATGTATGGTCAATAGGGTTGTACATTTAAAACATATATAGTGCTACAAAGTTATACATTTAACAATATGCAAAATAAATTAACACTAGAGGTAATATAGGTATTATGGATAGAATCAAATTATATAAAATCCAAGTTTACTTAAGAAAGTGCCTTTATAATTAACTTTAATGCATGATGTAAGTGGTGAGTAAAGTGACTCATGTTTTCACTCATATCTTGCCTGTATATTGTTTTGAGCAAGTTTTTAAATAGCTCTGAGCAATGAGTATAGTCTTGCATGGTCCTGTTCGATTCTATAGAGCAATCCAGCTTCTCCTGCTGAGAAAGCCAGACTCTGCAGAAGCAGGCTGTAGTGGTTATGGTGTTTTAAGAGCTATTTCGAATATTGCTAATTTTGAGAAAGAAACATTATTAAAAGCTATTTATTTATTAGTTAAATCATAAATGTGTCTGCTAAAAGAGTATGTTCCGTTCTTATTTATAGCAGAGGTATCTTGGCACAGCAGATCATACTGAGTTTATTTTCATACTTCGAGCGTTCTTGAATGACAATACTCACAGGGGGTATCAAACTACAGCGTACGTTGACCCAGTCAAGCAGCATGCCCAATTGGTGACTGTAACCCTGGAAAAAAAGAGCCTCTGGAAATCATGTATCAATGCTGCAGTTTCAGAAACAGACAAAGCTTTGGTAATTATAAAAACATATAAATCAAATGTTATCAGAACTATTCTTTTTTTCATTCTCCACGTGATCTCCTCTTGATCAAACCAGTCAGTCTTTCATCTTCCCATTTATTTAATTTCTGTTTTTAATAGCAACCTCAGCTGTCAGTTATTGTAAGTTATTGACATTGTAAGTGTAAATCATACCACCTAGTAGGATTGGGAATAGTCAAATATAGCCATTCTGTGTACCCATGTTTTCTTAATAAGAAGAAAACTAAAAATCAAAACTCCCACTGCATGTGCAAAGGTGTATAGGATAATAATGAAGAGATGGAGATTGCAACTTTAGCCCCATCTCACAACCTGTTGGGGTTTGAGGTGGTAATTAAACATTCTGAAATCACCCAGGTCTATGATTAAACCACGTGGGAAACCTGGGGTCTCTTACACCCTCTACACCCACAGGAGATATAGTCTCTCTATGTCCTTAGAAGAAGCAACAACTTTAAATTGAATTAAAAAAAGAACACAGTAGATTTTTTTATAAAAAATGTTTATTGAATTTGACTGGAAAATGAATGGATCAATCACATTTTGTCTCTCAGTAAGAACACAGGGGGGAACCTTTATATTGCCACTGCAAACAGGTTTTTCTTTTTACAAATTGGTAAATGTGGATTTACTTTTTGATGGTTCCCATGTTTACATTTTGTTTTCATTTGTGGAAGTTGTATAATTTATTAATTATTATTATTATTATTATTATTATTTTAAAAGGATTGACATGGGCTAGTTTGATAAGAGCCCATGACAGATCCTGCAAAAAAAAATGTGTATTTGCAGCAAATATATAAACACAAATTGGAAGTATATTATTTATTATGTTTATTTGTTTCACATATTTATAATACGTATTCGATATAACGCAACAGATTAACTCCAGCCTGAAATATTATTTTAAGGGTATGATGTAGAATGATGGAGGAATAGAGGGCTTGAGTATTTTAATAAAAAGACGTGCTTAGAGAAGATATCATGTAGTTTCTTGCAAGTGTTCACATCATCAAAGAAGAGATTTAAATGCATGATGTATGCGCCACTATATTTAAAGCACTAAACATAGATAACTGCACTGAGAGCATTAGAGATTGCTGAATAGTCTTTTTGTGAAAGACATCAGGCGTAGGCTGGATCAGAACCAAATGATGTGTTATTTCATTGTCAACAATTCTCTGTGCTTTACAATTACATAGTTACTTTCACTGAACAATATTCATGAGTTCAAGCAATAACGCTCCATCCAGTTTTGTGTCAGAGAAGAAAAAAGACCATTTCATCTCCAAAGGCATTTTCTTGTTTTCCCCCGCATCAGCCGTATCTAAGCTAAAAAGAATAGTTTTGGCCCTGTGCGTTTGTGTTTGCTATTGAGATATCCTTTTTGTTTCTGTTTTGATAAACAGGCAGTAGTCAGATGGGGCCATGAATGCAAGGATTATAAAGTTTCGGTAGAAGCATCTACGGGGGAACTTGCTGGAAATCCTGCCATACAGCTGAGCTGGCAGTGGTCAAAAGTTCCCACCTGGCTGAGACAAGCATCTCAAAGGTGACATTTCCACTAATCCTTCATTCTAATCTAACCAAATATATGGCAAGTTCTTTATTTCATGAATATCTTTACCTCTCTAGGGCCATGGTGTTTATTCCAGGAATGGCGTATATGTTAGGTGTTTCCACCATTAGTTCTAAAAACCCATCTCGTCAGCTTATTGTAAGAGTTGCTGCCACTTCTCCAGAGACCGTGGAAACAGTTGTCAAAGCTCCGGAGGTTAGTTTCCTTCTGTAATGTGTTCACAGTTAGTTTCATTACACATTGGTGGAAAATTAAATGTTTGCAGAAAAACCACATTAAAATAGTAATGTACAGAGTACATAAATACCGAGCAGCTGAAACACAATAATATACAATATTGTAATTACTGAATTTCTAGAATATAGAATTCCACAATATGTCCAAACTCTTTATGTTTAGAATAAAATCAGGTTCCTTATGTGAGTATCATGTAGACAAACATGATCTATCGGGTGAGTTATGCCAATTTCATTAATTAGAAGATATTTTTGTGTTTTAAGTTAAATAGAAAGTAATTTGTTACCTCTCTCTTACTCTTTATTTCAAGGGGTTTGTAGTAGAATTAGACAATTAATATTGGGGGAAGGAGATGCAAATGTTGCAGCAAAGAAACATGTTATAGTGCCTGTACTCACTTATAGGTGGCAAGGTAACCCCATGGGCTCTGGGTCTTGGTTTGCACTAGTCACTATGCAGATTTCTACTAGTTACATAATTTTATTCTGTATTCATTATTTTATATATTCGATAAATGGGCCTATAAATCCATCTGTGTAAATGAAATGCATTTTTCAATGTCTCATTACATTTAAAGAGACTCTCCAGTGCCAGGAAAACAATCAGTTTTCCTGGCACTGCAGGTCCCATCTCCCTCCCACCTCCCATCCCCGGTTGCCGAAGTGGTCAAAAGCCCTTCAGTGACTTACCAGAGGCAGTGATGATGTCCCTCGCCGCTGCTTCTTTGTCCGCCCATGCTCCTCCCCTTCATCACGTCAGCCGGCGGGGGAGACCTAATGCGCATGCGCATCAATGCCGCACACACGCATTAGACCTCCCCATAGGAAAGCATTGAAAATGTTTTTCAATGCTTTCCTATGGGGATTTTAGCGACGCTGGAGGTCCTCACATAGCATGAGGACATCCAGCGATGCTATAGCACAGAATATCTGTGCTATAATCTCGGAAGTGCCCTCTAGTGGATGTCTAGTAGACAGCCACTAGAGGAGGAGTTAACCCTGCAAGGTAATTATTGCAGTTTATAAAAACTGCAGGGTTAAGGGTAGTGGGAATTGGCACCCAGACCACTCCAATGGGCAGAAGTGGTCTGGGTGCCTGGAGTGTCCCTTTAAGTTCCATAAATTGTCATTAGCAAGACACCTAAAATTTGTCACAGCTGCCTCCCCCCTGGTTACACTCCTACTCACACCCCTAAAATGAAAGTATCCCTCTTTGTCCATGTGAAATTTTGGGAGGAGCATGCTATATATCTTTATATTTGGCCAATGTTAAGACAGTTTTAAATCCCCTGACAACAGAGTCTGCTGATGAGAAAAGATGAACAGTGACTTATTATAAAAACACGATACATAAATTAATTTTACATGGTGTTTTAGTATTTTGGAAATGGGTGTAGTCTTGAAATTACACTGGTGAGCAGTAGTCAATAAAATTAAGGTAATGAGAATATATATTTTATTGAGATAAGATGCGCTAGTCCAAGTCAATTGGCACCTGGAAGGGGATTGTACTAGGAATGTCTGATTAAATTAATTAATTAATTTATGAAATACACTGAGGAAAGTGTATGATCATAAAGATTAGAATGAGTGGACTGGCAAAGAAAACCCAAAAGAGAGTACGTGGAGTGAAGGTGAGAGCAGGGTTATGGGAACAGTTAAAAGAGGGTATAGTAAAGTACAAGGCTATAGAGAGACTTGCAAATTAATGTAAGTAATTTGAAAATATTGGTAGCTGGTGGTTGTGTTTTTGCAGTATGTGTTGGAGACATCACACACACACACACGCTAACAGAATGTTATTCTGTTTGTTTTCTCTGTAGATAACATTTTACAAACATGCTATTCCTGTTCCGTTTGATTTAAAATATGTCTTCAGTATGATTCATCAAAAGAGATGGGATCGCCTTCCAGAGGTAACCGCAATGATAACAAGGAGAGAAGAAGGTAATGTTTTACTACTTGTTCTGTGTTCATCAGAACTGTTCTTTACTCATACTGTGTACTGTCCTGTCAACTAACGTTCTTATTATTTATTTGATTGAGTTTTTTTAGAACAAAATAAAAGGTGCAAAACTATAAAATTTAGGAGAATAAGGAAAATGGAAGCAATTTCTCACATTAAACAGGCTCTGGAAATGTTATAGTTACATGATATGTTATATGTTTGTTCTTGTCCTTAAAGTTAGATTCAGTTTCTCATGATGCAGTTTAGTTTAGTTTAGTTTTCCAGTATAAGAGTATTTCCTGTCTCAGAGTTTTGCAGTCAATGGTTGAAGTGTGTAGAAATATATATATGATAAATATTGTGTTGATTAAGATACAAACAGTAAAACAAATAGAGAAAAGAAATAATAAATGAGAAGGAGCTGATCCAAGAGCCCCCAAAGGATATGGAGGGCTGGTGGATTAGCTCCAAGTCAGTGCCCACTTTCACTCTCCCGAGAAACTGGGGAATAACCCTCAAAACTGATAATAGAAAGTGACAGACTTGAAAGTGCTAAATAGGAGGGTGACAAACGAAAGGAAGAAAGTCCTACCTTTAATGATTCTAAGGATGACAGAAAATGGGGCTAACGTAAAATCACTATGTAGGGAGAAACAAGAATATTACCGAGGATGTCTGACGAAAATTAGGTTCACAGAAGTAGAAATCCCCCACTGTGTCTGAGAGCAATTAAAAACTCTAGCTGATGATTACCAATGGTTGTCTAGCTAAGCACAGTCCCAGAATACATACAAAAGGCTGGTATATAAAGGTAAAGACACACAGGAAGAAGAAGGAAAACCCCTAATGGACACCATGCAAAGCGTATCTCTAAATACTTTGGCACCGTGGACTAATTACTAGTGCCTACCTGATCCAATCTCCCTACTTAAGGTTGAAAAATAACAAAACTAGTGCATACTAAAATAAAGGGCTACCAAGTGTGGTAAGAAAACAACTAGACGCACGTTTTACCTAATTTCTTACAAATAATAAAGCTTATGCATTCGCAGGAGAGATTATTCATTTTCTGAATAATGCACAGCCTGATTCACTGTATATAAATATAGATGTCAATATTTGTGTTTCCAGTGGCATGTGAAGTGAGCGATGAACATTTTGTGACATTTGACAAAATGAGCATGAACTGCTCTCCGTCTGCCACAAAGTGCTACACGGTGCTCGCGCAGGACTGCACCAATAGGCTGAGGTTCCTGATCGCCATGAAAAGAATGGGTCACTCCCCTGGGATTAATGTAAAACTGGGATCTTTGTAAGTATAATTATTAACTTGACATTACTATTACTACAAAATTTTCTAAATGGTTTTCACATCATCCACTTTATTTATCTTTATTATTTATGTATACTGGAAGGTGTGTAAATCCGTATGTTAAAAGGGACACTCCGCTGCCTAAATAAAACATGTTTTAAAAATCAGCTTAGTAGTTATACCCCAAATGAAAAAATGCATGCATTTCATTATAATTTTTTTCATTTGCAGAAATATCTAAAAACAGCTGGCAAAAACCTGCAGATCTCCTGTCTGCTGCCTTTGCAAACCCTCCCCTACTAACCCCGCCCAAACTTTCTGTGGCTGTCCAATCACAGACTGCCCAATGCAGCTCAATGCAGCCCCCATGGATCAATCATTTCCTGCTTTTCCCTCCTATTAACCACTACATATTCTCTCTTTTCATGACAAAGACACCTTGACCAGCATGAATATAGAACAACCGATGTATAGGAATAGTCCAACTAATTTTTTGGGGGGGTTAGAACTTTCACAAACTTGTGTTTGGCTTGTTATACAATTTAATGAGTGCCTTATCGGAATTTTATGTTACATTTTACATTTTTGTTCAATGCTTATACTAATGATTGCCATTGTCAAGTCAACAAACTGAAAATTTCTCAATAAAAAATATACGTTGGGGGAAAAAATGTGTCTGCACGCATGCACTTATGAAATGTATTTATTTATTTATAAAATATTTTACCAGGAAAGATACATTGAGATTTCTCTCATTTTCATGTATGTCCTCGGTCCACACAACATTGCATTAATACATTAGGGTGCAATAAAATACAAAAATATTAATGCACAATATATACAAAATTTAACATAGAACCGGTAGGAAATATATAATCAACCATGGCACTTGCATTCTGTTTTGAGATAAGTCTTAAAGGACTTTAGGCCTGGGGAAGATTTGAAAGTGTGTCGGGGGTCGTTCCATACTTGTGGTACTCTGTAGGAAAATGAGAATCTAGCTGCTTTCTTTTTGTATTGAGGTAGACTAAATAAAGTGCTTGTACTGGATCGGATGTTATAGGAGGTGGGAACAGCTGGGGAGAGCATTCTGCTCAGGTAGGGTGGGAGCTTCCTATAAAAGCTCTTAAACACAAGGCTGGAAAGATGAAGAGTGCATTGGGATTCCAGCGACAGCCAGTTTAGTTCTTTTAGCATGCCACAATGGTGGGTCCTGTAATTACATTGTAGCACATATCGGCAGAACGAGTTATACAATGTGTTGAGTTTATTCATGTGGGATTGCGATGCAGGTGCATATACTACATCCCCATAATCAATGATTGGCATCAGCATTTGCTGTACAATCTTTTCCTTTACTGTAGGGCTTAGACAGGATTTGTTTCTGTACAGGGCACCTAGTTTTGGATAAAGTTTAGATGCAAGTTTTTCTATGTGGAGGCCAAAAGATAGATTGGGGTCTAACATCATACACAAGCATTTGAAAGAAGTGGATTGCGGTCAGTGTGCTATTTGATTTTGTTTTGATGGATAGATGGGAATTGTGTAATTTGTGTAATTTAGGTACTGTTCCAAAGATCATTGTGACAGTTTTGTCAGTGTTTAGGAAGAGTTTGTTTTTTGCGATCCACTTTTGTGCATTTCTACAGATTGTGCATGTCTACAAAGTGTACAAGGCCAGTGATAGATAAGAGAAGTACAGCGATGGAAAAGATTTGCAGAGAATGTGAAAGATAACTTTTATTTAATTTACATTTTTTTATTTTATTTTTTTCTACCTTTTTTTTCTTATATTTTTTTGTTCATCCAAAAGGTTACATGACAGTTCACATAAAGGAAGTTATTCACAGTGTACAAATACATCAACAATAATAATAATAACAGTGTTGACATTTGGATAACTTTTAAAAACATATATTCACCTATTTTAGTGTCAGACAAATAAGGAAACAAATAATATTGTCACTTTCTTTATTGTAGTAACACAGAAATGTATTCTGTTCATAAATATTGGATTTTATTTCTGACATAAATTTTCTGCTTTATGTTTATTAGAGACATTACAATTTATTCCGAGGCATCTGAAGATCTGAATATTCTGCTCAACGGATCAATGTTGCTTTTCCAGAATAACACGTATACACACGGGAAAGGTATTGTAAAAACATGGAGTCTGACCACTAACTAATTTCTCTAAAAGTCTGAATTGTGAGAAAAAAAAAAGACTTTTATGTCAATCACCAAGTACACTATTTACTTAAAGAGGCAGCTCGACAAAATGTATTTATCACTAGGATCAGTGAATGAAAACAAGATTTGAAATTGAGATTCACTATGTAAATGTGATTCCATGTGTATTAATATGTGTAAATCCAAACTGAATATAGGTTTATAAAACACTCTGAAATAATTAATGCAAACATGTAATGTTATAATGTGATACATAGAACATGGTAGGGTTTATGGTTGGACATAGGGAGTAGGATAGGGAAGATTTTTGGTAAGGGCTTAAGTGATTACATGTACGGGGGGGGGGACATAAAATGTAACCTTGGTCTGAAGTCTCTGGTCTCTGGACTTCAACCAAGCTGGTGATCAATGTCTTGTTTCTGAATGCCCCAAAAGGTACCAAACTTTAGCAAGTGAACCCCTTGGTCTATAGAAGATTTCAATTTGATGCTGAACTTGGAAGAAACAATTCATTTTTATTTTATTTATTTTCACTACACATTCAATTCTGGTGAATTCAAAACTGTGATGAAATCCGGCATCAAATATATATTAGTTGAATGTATATACATATATATATATAATTAAGTGATTTATTTTTTTCAAACTTGACATTTCCACATACATAGTCCTTCCAAATTTATATTTAAATCCTAGTTCCACATAAACAGGATTATTCACTAAAGTGTGATTTGCCAGGAAATCAAAGTGAATTCAGAGTGAATTTCAAACTTAAAGGGACTTTCATCACTTGACAATTTATTTTTTTAAACCAACAAGCAAACACTTTTAAACAAATATAGAAAAATAACATAATAAAGAAAGAAAATTTTGAAACGTTCCTAAACTTACTATTAACTTGGTTAGATTATGTCAGGACTTACCTGTCAATTCCTCTTCTGCTCCGTTCTGACACTTCCGGGTATGCGGAACAGTCCCCGCCCCCTCTCTCACGCCCTTATAGAGAAACCACGCCCGTTTTAAACTTGCTTAGTGATTGAGTCAGGTTACTTCCGCATTCATATTGCCGGCTATGCTCCTCTTCGTTGAAAATGGTGTACCGAACTCCTGGATTGTTAAAACGGATTCCCTGCCTTCTCCTCTCCTTTGATCTTGGACTGAATTTGGATTGCTTGAAAGTTTATGCTCCTTCCTGACTTCAAGTACCCTGCCTGTGGAAGACTACAGTATATACTCGAGTATAAGTCTAGTTTTTCAGCTGAAAAACCCCCACTCGACTTATACTCGAGTCACTGTCTGTATTATGGCAACTTAGAGAGCCGCGGCTGTCAGAGCCATGGCAACGATCCGCGCGGCAACCAGACCGCGAGACTTACAGTGGAGCTGACCGGAACGGAGGAGAAGGGAGCTGACAGGAGCTGCAGGAAAGGTAAGTAAATGCTTCCTGCTGGCCCCCCCACTTCACAGCCCATGCCACTGGACCACCAGGGATTAAGATAGCCCCCCTCCCTGACCAGTTAACAAGCAGGGAGGGGGGGACAAAAAAAATAAAAATAATAATATTAAAATAAAAAAATTAAAATAATAAAAATGCCCTCCCCCACCCAGTTCACACACACTACACAAACACACACTCTGCATTATATACACACTCTGCATTATATACACAGAATATGTGTATATAATGCAGAGTGTGTGTTTGTATGAGTGTGTGTATATAATGCAGAGTGTGTTTTTGTATGAGTGTGTGTATATATAATGCAGAGTGTGTGTTTGTATGAGTGTGTGTGTGTATATAATGCAGAGTGTGTGTTTGTATGAGTGTATATAATTCAGAGTGTGTGTTTGTATGAGTGTGTGTATATATAATGCAGAGTGTGTGTTTGTATGAGTGTGTGTGTATATAATTATAAAAAATCACAGAATTTCATAGCCCCAAGTTTTACCCTCGACTTATCCACGAGGCATAGCATATTTCACAATTGTTGGTCACAAAACTGCACTCGACTTATACATGAGATCGACTTATACACGAGTATATACGGTACTCCCATCATACTCTAAGTATACACTTAATCATAATTCTGGGAATTGCAGTATTAATGAACTTTAACCTGCTTGCTAACTATCTCCTGCTACAAACTTTGTTGCCACTATCACTGCTACAATGGCTATTGATTTTGCTTTCATCTAATTACTTCCAGTAGCCACAAATCCTTAAAGCTACAGTAATTGTGCTTACATAAAGGACTTTTTCCTTTCATTAGTTAAAAGCTGTTAAAAAATAAGGAAATTTCTAATCTGCAGTTGTGGTCCACATCTATTCTACTTGTGACATAACAGATTACATGGTTGGGCACGCCTCTCAGCCAGGGAAGTTTTTTTTTAGCCTCCCTAACCCTTTACCCACCCATTTAAGTTTCAGACCAGTTCACTAATGACAGAAACAGGGCATCATTGTGCAACAGCAGGAAAGACGAGAACCTGTTGTGCATGACCACACTGATCAGAGCATTCCTAAGGATAGGACACTGACTGTTTAGATCAGTGTCCCCATGGAGTGGGTGTGGAGATCATAAGAAATAAGAAGCAGGTAAATAAAAAAAAAAATTATAAAGAATATTAACTTGCATTTTACAGAATGCAGAGTGAGGCAACTCTCTCATTCAAAGCTAAATATTTTGAATGAGACAGATGTCTCAAAATTGTCTCAAAATGATGTATATCCCTTTAAGGCCATTTCAGAACTGGAAAAACTCTCCAACTAAGGAACTTGTTACATTTTGGTGTAAATTCACCAGTCACCAGACTAACTTGAGCCTAGTTGGTTGAACATATATTGGGACAAAATGGTGACAATATAATGTGATACAAGTAATAACACCTAACTAATGTAAAATCAACATGCGATAAAACTATAACACCTAAATAATGTATTACCTGTATTTTCTTATGAGAATAATTGTTTTTAAATGTACACAACACATGTGCAATGAGATAACTGCAAGCACTTAACTCTCATGATCATTTAACAATGAACAGTAATTTTTATTTTGCTATCTTGAATAAAAGTTTCTAAAGAAAGTATCGGTGTATAATGTGAATGCCTTGTGTGTTTTTTTTTTGTAGATGATGTAAGAATTTACAAAAGTTCAACTATAGTTATCATTAAAGCACCAAAGAATGGTGTGGAACAAGTCTCGTTCAACGGGAAAATAGCAAAGGTATTATGCCCATAACAGATCTTTACGTTTGTTTTGTAAGGTTTCGTTTTTTTTGAATTCTTTATTTTTGTTGTGCAGGTGGTTACAGGGTATCAACAGATGCAACAAAGGCGTTTTTCAAGATTCACAAAAGTTAGACAGTGGCATGCGAATTCGCACATTTTTACATTTTTAGCAAGCTCAACTAAACCGCTATATCGTCAGAGCAAGACTAAGTAGAATGAAATAGTATAAAATGATAGATAAACTCCACAACAGCGTAAGTCAGGTTTTGCAAGAGACAGACAGTGGCTTGGTTATTCGCACATTTTCCTTTATATAGATTTTAAGCCTGACAAAAACAGCGTTATTAGCAGGGTAGAGTTAGGAAGTCGCTATGCAACATTATCAGGCTTACTTAACGTAACGCTAAGGCATCAATTTAAATGTAAGTATGTCCTGCAAACAAGGTTTGGTTCATGTGTTCACTGGGTTAGTAGCAACATAGATATTACAGGTAATGGTAATGCAGTACAACGCTAGCAACATCTTTTAGCTAGTGCACATATACTTGTTTGATGTTTGAAATTTCGCTTGTACGTTTTGACCTGTCAGGGTAGAGTCGCTTATGATTATATTAGTTACGCTTAAGATCATAAATAACAAGCTAGTGTTTAGGGTACCTACGTATCTTGCGTAGTAAACAAAAGGTAATTAGTGGGGTATGTTTTGCCTAGACGCTCATGGTATAATGAGTGTTAAGGCGTTTAGGCCTTGGGTTAGGCTTCAGTTTACGCAAACCCGTGTGTACGGGCAGGTAAGAAGGTTTTTTCCTCCTCTGTGTATGGACTTGTTAAGTAGCGGAGGTTGCCTGTGCTATTATAGGCACTCTGTCATCAGAGCCAGTGCTGGGAGTTGACTCCTGAGCATAGTGGGGGAGGTGTCAGTCAGGATGAGCCATGCTTATATTGGGGGCATTAGGGGTAAAGGTCGGATTATACCCCGTTCGTGTCCGTCTACCAAATGGTGGTCGGAGAGGAAAGGGTGCCACAGCTGGAGATAGGGGAGGGGGGTCAAGGTAGAGTAGGAACTAAGCCTGATGATAGGCGTGCAGTGCCTAGTGTGATGTGTCTTAGAGAATCTAAATAAACGAGGAACACATAACATTAAAGAATCAGTAAGAGGTAACATGGGGATCATCCCTGTCGTGATCAGTCCTGGTCAGAGAGCCCCACGGGGCTTCATGTAGTTGCTGCAACATACAATTCTGCTGAGGGTCGTCGTGGTGTGAACGGGGTGACCTTGCTCAGGTCCCAGTTATGCGTGGGCCTGGTAGTGGGTTGCGGCTGTGGCTTTAGTAGACAGTCCTGTGGTAGTCCCAAGTCTCTTAAGAGTGTGACTGCATCTCATAGGTCCTGGAGTTGGTTAGTAGTCTCTCCTTGTGTCATCTGGAGCATGCAGGGCAAGCGCCATCGGTATCCTATATTGCGTTGTTGGAGTAGTGAGGGAAGGGGCTTGAGTGACCTCCGCCAGGCCATTGTACCACCGGACAGGTCACTGTAGAATTTTAAAGCCATATTTTCGAAGCGGTAATTTGGCTTACCCCTGATTGACTTTAGGATTGCAATCTTGTCTGCTCCGTGCCTGAATTGAATGATCAGGTCGCACAATGCTGTTGCTGGGGCTCTGGCCGGCTTAGGGATATAGAAAAGCCCGTCAAGGGGTGTTGCTTTGGCCTGCTTGGGTGGCAGCAAGTCTCCCATCATTCTCCTTATTAAGTGCGGCAGCTCTGCCTCAGGGACCGCGTCGGGTACCCCCTGGTTTTCAGGTTGTTCCGCTGGCGTAGGTCTTCCTGGGCTGTGAAGCGGCATTCATGGGCCTGATTTTGCCGCTGGGAGTCCTGTACTGCCCGCTCCAACACCTATATCCACTGGGTGTCCTGGTGAGTAGTTGTTCTAGTGCATCGATTTGGCCTGTCAGCCCCTGCAGACCCCCTCGTATCATGGCAATGTCGGTTCGTAGGGTGGTCTGTAGTTCCGCAAGGAGCCCCTTTAGGGCCGAGATTGTAACAGGGGATGTGTCCGGTTCTGTATGTTTTGGCGGCAGGGGTTTCGCCGATGTGGTTAAGAAAGTCTCTTCCCCCTCCGAGGTCAGGTCATCCCAGAAATCAGAACAGCCACCTCACAGCGCGGCCATCTTAGGCCTGCTCTCCCCATGTGCTTGGCGCGACAGGTCGCCGATGTTCATCCCCACATTGGGTCGGTCCAGTTTGGGTTTTTTGGTCTTCCGACCTATGGTGGTTAAGTGTGCTGGTATGATGTCTGGGAGCTTGGTACAGCAGGTAAGAGCCGGTGACAAAGTGATTATTCTCCGTTTTTAGTCTGGAGCTGCAGTAGCATACGACCTCTCACTTTGGTAGCTAGGCTCTGCCCCCTTGTTTTGTAAGTTTTAAAACAAAAACAAGCTGTTTTACACTTCTATATTTTTTTTCTTCTGAATATCCATATCAGTATTAATAGATAGTTCCTCCCTCAAAGCAGAAAGGACAGGAACAGGAACTATGAAATTAGTGTAAATAGTTCTGCCCACTCCCAATCAGGTTATATAACGAGCTCCACAACCCTCATAGAAGAAGGTATGGAAGGTAATGCTGCCATGGTTATTGATCAGAAAAAGATAATTATGGGATGTATAGGACAATTTTCTGTTCTTCTGATAAAACCATGTGATCTTCATTACGTGATAGATAACCAAACTATCTATATAATGGGTAAGAAAAATAGCACAAATAGTTTAGATACCAGTCAAAAGTTAGACAAACCATAAAGGGGCATCAAAATGCAAGAAGCCTCAAAAAGTATGAGCACATCACTAATCAATAGGTTATCCCATATATATGCCCAGGTAGAGTAGCGTTCTCCAGAGAATGTTGTTCAGGAACCACATTATGTTTGATCACTGGTGATAACCAGGATAGCCCCTACAATAAAGTGAAAGGGTGAAAATGAATTCACAATAACCAAAAACACATTTTCCTACCACATGTTTTGAACAAATACAGGCCAAGCTTGTGAAACCAGCAAAACCAAAAATTAGTCAAATCCTGGCATAGAATGTTGCCATAACAATAGAATGGAAATATGTCTAATGTTAACATTCTAATAAAGTAAAATCACAAGAATATCCGTTTAGCAGATTATGGAGCTACTATAGAATAATCCAACATTCTAGTAGAACGGAAAGAGGTAGTTCGACAGACTGCCTGGTAGGGAGAGACTGGTTCTATTTCATTTTCACTGATTTGTTTCCTGTCCTTTCTGCCGTGAGTGGGAGGTGCTACCCATTAGTTAATGCTGCTGTGGTTTGAAGAAAAAGACTTACATTGAGCCCCATTGTATCACAAATTGATTTTTTTTCTTTGGACACATAATAATTTTCCATTTTATTTACATTTCAGATTGTCATTTCACCGTGGATGATAGGCAAAACGTGTGGTCTTTGTGGATATGCTGATGGAGACGAGATAAATAACTTTCAAAAGCCAAATCAGCAGATAGCACAGGATTGCGGCAGCCTTGTCCACTCCTGGACGTTGTCCGATAATTCATGCTTTGGAAGTTAGTGTCTAATTCTGTGTCAAGTGCAACTACAGAGGACATAACCTAATGATATCCTTTCAAAGTTACAAAGAGAAGTTTTATGCGCTGAACAATTTATTTTGGCTAATTGAAAACTCATGTGCAAATTCCAGGCTAGAATGCCAAGATGTGACTACAGCTGAGAATTCATAATATCAGCTATTACGACTCACTACAATTCTGTTTTTATTTTGCTGTTAAGTGAATAATTGCCACTATGTATTGTTTGCACAATGCGGCTCTTTCGCTTACTAGACTCTTTGAGTATATAAACTAACTGAATGAAAACAAGAATTATCCTTATTTGCACCTCAAATGTCAAAAACATGAATAGGAGTATTTACTTTGATAAATTATAAATAAAAACACACCACGTAAATTCCCTGTACACCAAATAGCATGTTACAAAAACACTGAGTATTTTTGATTTGTGATCAGCCAATTTGCTAAAACTTTTGTAATTTGTAACTAGTTATTTGGTTAAGAAATTACACATTGATTATTAAAATTGTGCGAGGCACACAATTTTGTTTTGGCTAAACCACATCTGAAAAAAACCTAAAAACATTTCAAGGCCACTGAATTTCAGCCATATGGTGTCATCTCATCATAACTTCATTAACAGAAAAAGATTAACAGAAAGGGCATGAAAATAGGCCAGTTAGTGTGCTGTCAAATATAAACATAATATACATAGATAAATATTATGTATATTTTTTGCAATACACAAATAGGCACATTGCCCTGCTATTTGGTTCAGAAGTCAAGAATAAGTAAATAATAGAAGGAGGGACGGGGGGGACAAGGAGCAGCAGTAACATATTTTCTATATTTTATTTTTTTATGCCCTCTATTGGCCACTTCTCACTTGATCTGTGATTAAAATCATTTTTTGCTGGCTGTCCCCTAACCATCTGTCATCTTTTTTCTAGTTGGCTGGCTACTGACACCATGACCACTTCAAATCACTGAAGTGGTTGTGGTGCTTGGAGTAACTTTTTCATACGTAACAAATATATTTACAAACTGGAGCTATTTTAGAATGATAACATGTTTAACCCCTTAAGGACCAAACTTCTGGAATAAAAGGGAATCATGACATGTCAGACATGTCATGTGTCTTAAGGGGTTAAATATAAAGTCATGTTTTCTTGTAATGCTATTTTGTACTAGTGATAGTTACTTTTTTTTTGATTATTTATTATTATTATTAATATTGCTGGTATTTATAAAGCGCCAACAGATTCTGCAGCGCTGTACAATTAGTGAAGAAAGTACAATATACACAGACAAATACAAGAGGTAGAGAGAGCCCTGCCCGTAAGCTGATATATTTATAAGAGCAGTACACAAAGAAAATGAGCCGTGATATTTCTTTTACTGCAAATGTTTTCACCATTGATTTTTTACGATAATTTTTACGGTTGTTAGTACAACTCCCCACCCCCATTGAATGTTCAATATCCCTTTCTATGCGTCATTTCTGCAAACTATTTTTTTGAATGGATAAAGCTCAAATGTAAAAGTGAATTTTCAGAATGTAAAAGCTGAGTAGAGGAATATACAATTTTTTTTTCAAAGTCATACTCATAAATATATATTAATAATGGCAGCATATGTGTTTGTTTTATATTTATTTAGGCTGTGCATTGGATCGTCAGTATGTCTTGTTAGAAAACCAGATGATTGATGAAGATCCATATACCTGTTATTCAACAGAACCCGTATTAAAGTGTGTTTCAGGATGTCACCCCATGGGAACAGCCCCTGTAAAAATAGCTTTCCACTGTCTACCCACAGGTAAGTGGGATAAATGGAATATGGTTTTTCACATAAACAGTTGTACGTTGACATCTAAAATTTTGAGAGATTAATTGAAATTTTATTTTGAATTCATTATGGTTCTATTAGCATAGATTTATCATGATTAATGGAGCCAAAAATGCAAAATTTTTAACACAGAATAATCCTATAAAAACAAACCATGCTAATGATTCAAATAAAATTGAGCTCAGAAAATAAACAAGTTGTGTAGAGTCACGTTAATAAGTTTCTCTATTTTTCCTTCTACCAAAAGTTTTTAACATGTAAATTAAGGCTGCTAGAAGCAGACATTTTGTTTTTATAGCAGTTGAAAAGTGAAACTTTATTATATATATACGGATTCAGATTAAGGAGGACTATAACACAGCAAAGACATGTGTGAATGTAGTGAGTACCGTGTAGTGCAACCTCAACACCCCATTCCCGTTTACCATCCTTCCAATAAAACATAATTTTGGTGAAAACAGGCCACAGCTTTTTATTTACAATTTCAACAAATATCATTAACCATAAAATAGATTAACATAATATACCATTTAACAATAAACCTGTCCATCCCAACTCATACTGGGCACCTGCCCCCCACCACCCCCCGTGTCCTAACCACCAACTGGCCTCCAACTTGGCCTTACCTTAATACAATGCTAACCACAAGCCAGCCTTTGGCTCACTGGCACGTCCATTTATCCAAATCTTTTTACCAGAGGTTGTAGGAGGCATCAGCCTCGACCTTCCTTCTTTCCCATGGACTCCTGATCCAACCCCGATTGGCAAGGAACTTACCCGCCAGCTGCAGCAAAAGAAATAGAGAAAATTCCAACATAAAAGGGAGGGAGGGAAGGAAGCCTTTACCATGATGGAATTTTAAAATGGCTCGAGAATGGGCAGTGGGTGGGCAAAATGCCCGTGTATATATATATATATATATATATATATATATATAAATATACACATACATATACACACTCATATACACACACACATATACACATACACACACCACATTCCCTTCCTCCTGCTTACCCCTCCCCTTATGCAACTACTAGGGAATATAATCATAGTGATTTATCTTTTCTTTTCATACCTGCTGTATGGGCCAAAAATTGCAACCTGATGCTAATATTTCAGACCCTGAAATATTGCAAGAAAAGCAAGATCATGCAATATCTTAATATTTTAATCTCCTCCAGTATTTCCCAAATACAAGAAGGAATAAACAAACAAAAAAATATCTACATTTACATAACTTTACATAAATTACATTTACATAACTTTAATTTTAGTTATCTCAGAACAGCAAACTATACACAAATGCTTTTTTTAATCGTATGTATGTATATCCAATTTAAAAAAAATGTTTTTACCAAAAAGAATTTGTAAGAGGAGGCGTTATTTTGTATAAAGGGAATGTTTGCCTCATTTCTTTATAAAGTTTTACTATTGTCATTAATGTCACATTTAATACGTACACAAATACATTACATTGTGTTACTAACTTACATTTCTTCTGATGTTTTTTATAGAATCTGGAATACAATTAATAGACTGGATAAATAGCCCAAAGGACGAATCTGAAGATTTAATTGAAGAAGTGGAAGCTCACACCAGTTGTGTCTGTACATCTCAATGCACAAATTAGGGCAATAACAGCGACATATGCCGACCTCCCAACTTTATAAGTGGACAAAGTGGGACACTTTCATTTTAGGGGTGTGACCTGGGACAGGATTGTTCTGAGAAATTTCAGCAAAGTTGCTAATAAGAATTTATAGAACTAAAATGTAACTTCGAAGGAGTTTATAAAATGTTTGATGATACAGTAGGAGGAGAAGAAACAAGGTGAGTTACCGAGGTGAGGGAGGGAAAGCTGCTTACAGTTTAATTTATAGGCATTCCTCATGTCTTCCGGGGGCCATATCAGTTCAATTGTTAACAGCTTTCCCTCCCATGGTAACTCACCTTGCTCTCCTCCTGCTACACAGGATAGGCAACCTTCGGTACTCCAAATGTTGTGAACTAGATCTTCCTTGATGCTTTGCCAGCATTATAACTGTAAGAGCATTATGGGAGATGTCGTCCACAACATCTGGAATGCTGAAGGTCCACAGGCACAGGAATGTAGTGCACAAAATAGAGGGTTTATTTTGCCGTAAGGACAAAGAAAAAAGATACAATGTTTCAGTCCTGAAGCCTCAACCACATATACAGAACATAAGTAAACATAGTACTTACTTCAATACCCTCATAACCACACTCTCCCGCGAACCCAAACGACTATTTCACACATTTAACTCTCTACTTCGCCCTATTGTTCCTCCTCCAACTACTAACTTGACCGCCTCAGACTTTGCAGCTCACTTCACTGACAAGATCTCTACAATCAGGGAAGAGATCTCTCATCTTTCTTCTTCCCCTTTCAATACTTCCCCACTCCCTCTGCTGTTCTATGTTCATTCGCACCTGCTACAGTGGAAGAGGTTTCTGCTCTGCTCCAGTCCTCCCACCCCACCACCTGCTCCCTAGATCCAATTTCCTTGCATCTTATCCGTACTATGTCTTCTTCTCTTTCTCCACCTCTCACTAAAATTCTCATTCTCTCTCTCTCTCCTATGGCATATTTTCATCACCCTTCAAACATGCAACTGTAACCCCAATTCTAAAGAAACCCAACCCTGCCCCTAACTCCCCATCCAACTACCGTCCTATCTCGCTATTGCCTTTTGCATCCAAGATCCTTGAAAGAGTTGTGTATGAAAGATTGGCAGACTTCCTTGAGTTTAACTCTCTGCAAGACCCACTTCAGTTTGGTTTCCGAGCTAAGCACTCTGTGGAAACGGCACTGCTGAAACTATCCAATGATCTACTCACTTCAAAATCTTGTGGTTACTACTCTATCCTAATTCTCCTTGACCTGTCTGCGGCTTTTGACACTGTTGATCATCAACAGCTTCTTCTCATCCTCCGCAATATCAGTCTGCAAGATATTGCTCTCTCCTGGTGCTCCTCCTACCTCTTTCAGCGCTCTTTCAATGTTTCTTTCTCTGGCTCTGCTTCTTCTCCCCAACTCCTCTCTGTTGGTGTCCCCCAAGGTTCAGTCCTTGGTCCCCTACTGTTCTTTATCTATACTGCCTCCCTTGGTAAACTCATTAGCTCCTTTGGCTTCCGATATCATTTCTATGCAGATGACACACAAATCTACCTGTCATCTCCTGATCTCTCCCAGTCCCTCTTGACTAGTGTCTGACTGCCTCTCTGCTATTTCTAACTGGATGGCTGCCCACTTCCTTAAACTCAACTTGACCAAAACTGAAATTCTAGTCTTTCCTCCCTCAAGTGTTGCCACCCTTGTGTCTGCCTCCCTCCAAGTCAACGGTGCTAAATCTGCTCCACCACGCAGGCTTGCTGCCTAGGTGTTCTCTTTGACTCCGATCTCTCCTTCATGCCTCATGTTCAGTCTATCGCCAGATCCTGTCGTTTCCATCTCAAAAATATTGCGTGCATCCAACCCTACTTAACGCCAGGTGCCACTAAGGTGCTGGTTCATTCCATTGTCCTTTCTCACCTTGACTACTGTTATCCGCTTCTCAGTGGTCTTACATGCATCCATCTTGTGCCGTTACAGTCCATAATGAATGCGGCGGCGAGGCTCATCTTCCTGTCCGCCCGCACCGCCCACGCCTCACCCTTCTGTCAGTCCCTGCATTGGCTTCCTGTAAGGTATAGGGCTCAGTTTAAAATTGTGGTTTTTGCTTTCAAATCTCTACATAATGCTGCTAACACCTATCTATCCTCACTAATACACAAGTATGTCCTGTCTAGGCCCTTACGCTCTGCAGAAGACATAAGTCTATCTTCTTTCCATACTCCCACCTCTGAAGCTCGCCTTCAAGACTTCTCCAGGGCTGCACCGTTCCTGTGGAACTCACTTTCCTCCTACATTAGATGCTCACCAAGTGTCCACTCCTTCAAAAAATCATTAAAAAAAACACTTTTTCATAAAAGCGTATCAATTAAACTGTTAATAGCTCCCGACTGATTCCTCTCTTGCAACTGTCATTAGTCTAATACTACCCTTACCTTTTGTGTCACTTTACCCCACTCCCTCTAGCATGTAAGCTCATTGAGCAGGGCCTTCAAGCCCTCTGTTCTTGTGTGTCCATCTTGTCTGGTTACAACTACATGTCTGTTCGTCCACTCACTGTAAAACGCTGCAAAATTTATTGGCGCTATATAAATAATAACATAATAGTAATAGTATATAAGTAACTTTAGTACTCAGGTAAAACCACCAAACAGTTGCCTCAATCTCAGGTGTGACCTCATAAAGCAGTGGAACATACCTGGCAGAAACCAGGAGTAGACAAAGGTTGTCATGGAGACCATAAACAAAACAGAATAAGCCGATCGAGAATCATCAAAAAAATATCTGCAAACCACTGCACAAAGGCATACACATTGAGTGGAGATAGAGGGTAAGGACGGTGTAATAAACATGTAGCACCGTATAAGATAACATACAGAGATTGGGTTACCATAGTAACAAGAAACAAATAATAAACAAAAAATGCATGTGTACACAGTCATCAAAATAAATAAGGAAATCAATATATGAGATTGTATGTGGGAATCAGGGATTTGGACAGCTCTGGGTATACTGGTTGCCGTGGCAACCAGGCAAACCATGTATGTCAGCACAAAAACTTACTGGGAATGCATTCGATACAAACAAGCACTAGTAGTACCCATCACCATGTGACTAATAACAAATAACTTGCAGAGCTATGTATAAGCTACTTTGGTAAATAAAAGCAAACTAAGGAGTTGGGTTACCATAGCAACCTAAGGGGAAGTTGACAGAGAGTCATAGATCCTGTTGACATGAAGTGTCAGTATGAAAGTCGTTTTTTGCCAATTCTCGAATGGCTTATTCTGTTTCTTTTATGGTTTACATGACAACCTTTGTCTACTTCCGGGACTGAAACATTGTATCTTTTTTTCTTTGTCCTTCTAGCTAAATAAACCCTGCAGCCTTTTTTGCACTACAATGTGATGACTATGGATCTTTATTTGTGGTACTTGTTTGGGAGTTTGCAGACCTCAACCACAGTGCTCCATTGTAATTTTTCTTGTGTGCAACACACACCCCTTATATTGTATCAAAAAAATGACGAACTCTTCTAGCAACCTACTCCCCTTTACCTCTTGTGTTTGAGCAGGGCCCTCAACACTCTGTTACTGTGTGTCCAATGTGTCTTGTTGCAAGTACTTGCCTGTTAGTCCACCTATTGTAAAGCACTGCAGAATTTGTTAATGCTTTATAAATAATAAGAAGAAGAACAATGTATCTTATTTACACAGACTAATTGCTACACACATTTATTGTAGTTTAAAGAAGCACTATTGGGAGTATTATTGCTGTGGAGCTCTGCTATACACTCAAACACAGCAACAATGTGGAGCTCATAGAAAAGAGATATTAGGATAGAAAAGAGGGACCGAGGTATTTGGGTTCCAAATAGGGATTGTCTCTCCTAAATAGGGACACTTGGGAGGTATGCTAAATTAAAGGAACACTATAAGGTCAGGAACACAAACACTATCTAGGGTTTGCTGGGGACAGGGGAAGGGGGCAGGGATTGCTACATTGTTATTCACTAAACTGTGAATTGTTGGGAATTCAACAAGGAATTACAAATGTTTGAGCAAAACTGTTAAATTGGTGAAAATGAAACCCATCTGTTTTGGCCTACATTTGCAACAGGTTTATTCCTGACAACTACTTTTAGTAAAGTAGGCCACAATGATCTGAGTTGCAACAAATCTCATTTCATTACATTTTTTGGCCTAAATTCCGCAAGTCGTTTATCAACTCAAGACAACTCAACTGGAGTTGTCCAATGTCCACTGATCTGGAAACTGTGCTGAATTGATGAGAGATTTGCACGTTTTAAGCCATGATACGCTCAGCTAATTTTCCAGCTCAATTAGTTTGTCTTAAAATGTGTAAATCTTTTGACAAATTCCACAAAGTAAGGAACCTTATGTGTTTACTTAATAAACAACAATATTTTAAAACAGATTTCTAAAATAATGCTTCTATTGCATTATTAGTAATTATAGGTTAACGCTTTCTACATTAAATCCCTGGCAAACAACGTTTCACTTTTCTCCTTTACATTGTTGGTAATCATGGGTTAAAGGGGAATCGCTACTGCCCCATATTTTTAATATTATGATTACTTATCCCTATGTTTAACAAATACATATTTGCGAGGTGTGTAAATTCAAATTAAAGGTAAAAATCCACAACCTCTTCATCTTGTAACTTGGAGCCTCCATCTTAGCTCCCTGTCAATCATTATTATAAACTCTAGTCTTTGCATCAATAGAGAAACAGGAGAAATTAAACATTGGGAGGTGATTTATATAAAGTGGCACCGCTGTTTTTACTGCAAAATGTTGTCGTCTTCTCTGTTTGCCACAGTATTACACTTTGTCTGTGCCACATTTTTCCTGTTTGTATCCTTCAAAACTATTTTGTCTTGCACCCCTTTCTCCTTTTTTTAATCAGAATTAATAGTGTCAAGAGTGGGCTTTTTGTTCTTTCAAAAAAATAATTCTGCTGCTATCAGATTGGCGGATTTTCTGAAAGAGGTAAGCAGCTTTCAGGGACTTCCTTTTTATTTAAGAAATGGAAAATCTTTCAAATTGTGAACATGTCTTTTTATCCCTAGTAATATGACTCATTTGTCTTTTTTGTGAACGTAATCAATAGTAAAATCAACAGGGAGGGAAAAAGAGTAAAAACACGAAAGATGGACAAAAAGAAAGATTATTTTGGTGCAACACAGAAAAGTCACTAGTATATAAATTGTGGGAGAAAAGCGAAGAAGCCTTTTTAAAAAATAAAAAAAATTCACCTCCAATGTTTCTGTTCCTCCATATCATGTAGAGTCTGTGCCTAGTCTGAACAGGATTATGATGTAATATGCTAAATCTTTCGAATTAATAAAAAAAACATAGTGTCTCATAAAGTTTAAAGTTAAGGGTGATTTAAAAGTTTAATTAAATGTAAAAATATAGAAAACTATTCAAAATGATTAGTTCCAATCCAAGCCTATCTGTGGTCGTGTCCTGTCCAGTAATCCACTGTCTACCAAATTCACTGCTATGAATGTGAAATAGTCGCTACTTATCCATCTGACACTTAGTTAACCTTCTTAACTTTGAGAGTAATGTGTCCCTCACCTCTCAAACAATCAGATATTTCAACCACTCACTGCAAGAATTGAAATTTCATGAGATTTCCGATGCGACTGGATCTATCTTCCTTTTCTGTCTGTAAAAGAATGCATAAAAATTTAGAAACCTTTTTCTTTCTTTCTATTTTGTTCCCTGTGCTGTGTGAACAATAAACATCAGGACACCTGACAGAAGCTTGGTAATAAAAACACCAAATGCCTGTGTGATTACTTAACATTTACAACCACTCTCTCTTTGCAAGGGAAACAAAATTCAAATGATGTAATGTTACAAGTTTCTGAGCTGCGGGCCATCGCCTGCTGTCACCCGGTACAGCAAGTTTGTTACAGAACATTAGCATTGCAAGCGTAATAGCCTGAATTCAGGTCTCTTTTATTTCCACACATCTGTAGTTCACAGCAGGCTCGCAATGTGGTTACAGATCAATTCTTACAACTGGCAGTTTGCAAATGATTCTCGTGCCTGTGACAAGTGTAATGCGTCTGTATATCTTAGGGGCAGAACTTTGCAGCACGACTGCTTATTGTCAGCATGGGGTACGGATTATAACGCTGTCATATTTTAAGAATATACAGAATTACAAATGCATTACATGTAAGGGGGGTGTCAGGGTGGGAGGCGGGGGGAGACTTAACAGAAGCAGCCCTTTCAATGTGCATTGTGCGAGAATTGTGTGAAAACTGCAAGGATGTCATATTTTGCAACATTTGTTTTGTCTTTACTTTAAAAATATTAAATGAGTTTGGAGATGTATTAATTCACAGGAGGGAAGTGTGACTTTAATTCTGAAACAGTGTTGGTTCCTGTTTATTTTTGTTGGTTTTGTCACTCCCAAACACCCTGTCTTTATTTGTTAATCTTTCAGAAAAAATACCGGTACTTTAACATCCCCAAGTTTGGCGGCTTCATTTCCCATGATAGGGTGCCAAAATTTTAGCAAACATTTAGCAAACATTTAGCCATCATTGGAATAGATAATCATACGGATCCAGTTTTATGTTGGAGATTGGCAGATAGTTGAAATCTTTAGAAATGGCTCATTCCTGGGTTTAGGATTATACATTGGGCTTTATTTTAAAAGTTGTTCTTAAGCAATAAGCAATGTGAAACTGTATTTCCATGCATGTTTTAGTAAACGAAGAACAACATTTAAAAACATGTCCCACCTATACAAGTACCTAATATTTTCTTGGCACTATTACTTTACAACACAATTTAAATACAAGGAGGGGCAATTTTGTGGGCACTTGCCCATCCTGCCCTATACTGTCAATGCCATGTCTGTGCGTCATTGTCAGTCTGACATCAACATGCTTTGCGTTCTGGCTTTAGTGACAAAATTTGTACAAAATTGGTAATAGCCAATCCAGAACTTTCCTTTCAGTCTGTGTAATAAAGTTGCAATGGTGTAGCTGGAAGTGGGGTTACATATCTAGCAGCAGGTGGGTTAATCTCTGTTTATACTTTGTTTTATAGTGAAACGCTGCACATACAGACTCCAGGTACCATTACCAATTCACGTCACTGAAGTGGTAATGGTGCTTGAAGTAACCCTTTGAAATTCACTTTGAATTCAAGGCAATTCTCACATTAGTGAATAACCCTGTTAGTCTCATATAAAACAATTACTAAATTAATTTGAAGCTGATCATTGAGTTGTGGGCTCTGACTACATATAAGACACTATCATTTCATTAATTTTAAAAAAGGACTATTGATGCTAAGTTTATTTTATTAAAGATGCCTTTCAAAGAAGGTACTGTCTCTGAATGCCTTTTTCTCTTCTCTTAAATATTTCTTTCTTTCATTTATCTCCTGATCTTACATAACTTCCCTTGTGTCTCTTTCCATTTCTTCTCCTTTAATACATCACATGACAGCATTAGGATTGTGGTGAAGTCCTGTTGTGCATGTCTTATAAGGCTGTACAAAAGTCTTGGAGTGTGTATGTGGAACTCTTTATACGTAAACAGATACGTACATAAGGACATAGAGAGGTGGTGAAATGTCATGACTTATCCTTGCCTCTCTGACGCGGCGCAAAAGGAGCAGATGCCCCATGAGCCCACCGACCACCATGGGCCACACAATGAGGGGGCCCATCGGGTGGCCCATGCTCTTAGGGCCACTCGATGGCAATGAGTCTGCAGGGGCCCAGTCAGCGTTGCGGAGCTTTAACAGTGCAACTGGGCCTCCTTGATGAGGTCAGCGCTAGGAGGAAGTGCAGTCACTTCCTCCTAGCTAACAGAGCTGCGCGGAAGGGAGGGAAAGCGTGGACTGGTTGAGAGCCCGACCCCTAACAGCCTTAACCAGCCACTGGACCACAGGGAAGTCACCCTCCTGTACCCAGCTGACCAGCAAACAAGCAAGACGTGCTCTGCATGAGCTCCCACCAAACGGCAACAAAACCGCCTGAAATCAGGGGTGCAACCCTGGAAACCTCACATAACAAGGATACACTAATCGGGGAACCCAGTACGCACCTGCAGATACCCAACACGTCACCCAGAATGCCCGGGACCCAAGGCGGAAGGCTGAGGCCTACGAGAGAGAACGAGCTGGGAAGACGGGCGCTTCCCGCTCAACACTCCGAGCCACAAGCAGGCACTAACCAAACCCACCCCCCTTGGACAGGTGGGGGTTATCCCGGTCCCCGCCACAAAGATCTGGACCGGTCTCCAACCTGCTATTGAAGCCAGCAGCTAAAGCAGACGGACCGGGGGACAGGCCTCTAAAATGGCGGCCACAAGCGACGACCTTACTCGTGGCAAGCAGCAGCAACCTGCATCACCCAAACCCAATCTAAACACGAGAGACTCCCTGGACGTGATCTTTGAGAAGTTCTGGGCCAAGCTTCTGGCCTACACATGACCAGCCGCAGCCAAACCTCTCCCTGACCAACCTACAGCACAATCCAGCAGGACCAAGGGGACTGGGAAGCCTCTAATGGGCGGTAAAACTATCCAATCCTATGTAATCCGCATGAAACGCCTGCCTGGACAGAGGGTAATGAGGGGACTCACCCGCAGGTACCGGCCACACAAGCGGAGAGCCGCAGGAAACACACGGAGACGCACGCCTGACACATGCACCCCTCGCCGGGGAAGACCCTGGAAGGACCCCAGGCTCGTGGCTTGAAGGTAACAGCCCTCGCATTGATCCGGGGCCGAGGAGGCACCACGTCCACAAGGGGGTGCACAGCTGACTGGCTGAACATCTCTGAACGCTCCCACACCCAGCAGCGCACAGGAGTCGGATGACACGTCTGGATGGGGGATGCAGTTGCAGTCTGGCGATGGAGCTTCACACAATGGGACTAAAATGCTAAAAAAAAAATGCTTGATCTTTCTTCTACCTACCAGGACTCTATGTAATGTATTGCCACACCATACACCAGCTCCCATCACCAACACTACACAACATGATAGCATCTTACAATAGCACTAGATATGTAGAATAAGCAGCATACTCAACCACCTTGCTCTGATGACAAACACATAGTTAAGCTTGTTACACGCCACAACATTTTTTTCAATGTGTGTCTGTGTGTGTGTGTTTGTGTATATGTGTTTGTGTGTATATCTGCCTGTATGTGTATATGCATGTGTGTGTATCTGTCTTTATGTGTATCTGTCTTTATGTGTATAAGCATGTGTGTTTGTGTTTCTGTCTATATGGGTATCTGTGTGTCTGTCTGTCTGTGTATATGTGTGTGTGCGCCTTTATGTTTGTTTCTGTGTGTGTATCTGCATGTGTGTTTGTGTATCTGTCTGTATGTGTATATGCATGTGTCTGTGTATCTGTGTGTCTGCCTGTATGTGTATATGTGTGTGTATCTGTCTTTATGTGTATATGCATGTGTATCTGTTTATGTGTGTATCTGTATGTTTCTAAGTCTGTATGCGTATCTGTCTGTGTATCAGTGTGTGGACCTCTGTATCTGTGTGTGTCAATGTTTGCATCTATATGAGTGTCTGTGTATCTGAATGTTTGTCATTAAGTGTGTATCTCTTGGTATGTGTGTCTGTGTATCTGCATGTGTGTCAGTGTGTGCCTCTGTGTATCTGTATGTGTGTCAGTGTGTGTGTGCCTGTGCATCTCTATGTGTTAGTGTGTGTGTGTAAATGCATGTGTGTCCATGTATTTATTTGTATGTGTGTTATTGTGTGTATCTACATATATGTCAAGGTGTGTTTGTCTGTTTATCTGTATGCGTGTTAGTGTGTGTCGACATGTTTGTCAGTGAGTGTATCTGTGTATGTGTGCCAGTGTGAATTTGTGTATGCACCTGTGTGTCTGTGTATCTGTCTTTGTATGTCTGTGTATTTGAATGTCTGTACCTATGTATGTCTGAGCCTGTGTATGTGTGTATCTGTATTTGTGTCAGTGTTTGCATCTGTATGTGTGTCCGTGTGTGTATTTTCTCTAGATGAAAAATAAGTGTGGCTGAGTCTACGATCTATGTGTGTGGGTTTTTTTTGTGTTTTCATGACGTGTGTCTTTGGGGGTTTGCATTCTAGAAGGTGGGAGGGAGGGGACCAGGGGGCCCAGGAAAATGCTTGGACAGGGTCCAATAAGCATTAAAGACGGCCCTGGTACACAGACTGCTGTCAAGACATGATGTGCCTTCAGGACAATGTGCATAGGAGTACAGCATTTCCCTCCAGCAACAAACCAAGACTATTAGAGAA